AAAAAAAAACAAGCAAATTAGTGAAAATATTTTCTAAGTAAGTAAACAAACCCAGCAATTTCTCCTCCGGGACAAACAGGAAGCAACAGTGGAAAGATGATAACATAAGCCTTTATTTAAGACACAATGTTAATGCTTAGAAAGCATGAGGAGAGTAGAAAGGAAAAGAAGGAAACTCCTAGTAGAGGCACAGCATCCGCCCATGTGAAGCTGTGAAAGTTGAGTTTGCAGTAAAAACAGAGACTGACAGCAGGAGGTTGATGCTAACTGGTTTCCCCACATGAGTCATCCTCTGATTGTTTTGGACGTCTGGAGACGACAAGCAGGTAGGCAGCTGAGTCCGGTTTGGTAACAACAGTGAATAATTGAGATCCTGCCCATGTGGGCTCCTCCCGGATTTCCCCAGCCATGGAAAAAAGAGGGGGGACAAATCATCCTCCAGGAGGAACTCCTTCCAGTGATCCAGGTGATGAGCACCTTATAACAGGTAGACCAGAGTTTGGATCTGTGCTCAGGAATCTCTCTGGATCAGAACCCAGTTAGGACCAAAGAACTGTGATCAACTCCAGGTCCTAATGCAGGGGTGGGCAATTCCAGTTCCTGCAACTTTTAGATCCATCCTTGGTCCAACACACCTGAATCAAATGGCTGAGTTCCTCCTCAGTATGCAGTTTGTTCCTCCAGAGCCCTCTCAATCATCTAATTACTTGATTCGTGTGAGTCTAAAGGCACATCTAAAAGTTGCAGGATACCGACCCTCAGGAACTGGAATTGCCTACCCCTGCTGTAACGAGAAAAGGAGGGGTCATCATTTTCCAGAAGGTCAAACCAGGCAATGCGGTGATGCATGAAGATTCAGCAGCAGACGAATTCATGCTTCACTTGGAAAAGTTAGGAAACAGCAATGCTAAAACGTTCGGCTGAGTCTTCAAACTGAAAATGAAAAAAAAACAGGTAAAATGAGCTAAAATTGCTGCAAGCTACTGTGGAAAAAAGTGCATTTTTAAAAATGGTTGAGCATAGAATCTGAGTTCTCATGTTGCAGCCATTAGACGGCGTCATGGTGGAGAATGAATTATTGATTCAGCTGTTTACTGATTGGCTGGTGGTAAACCTGGAGCCACGCCTCCAGATAACTCATAACAGCCATCTAGGGTTTAAACGAGAGGTGATCAATTAATACCAGATTGATTGGTGAGTTATATGTAAAATAATAAAGGTTATACGGAGGAAAATCTTCATTATTATCTTTATTACTAGATCTGGTAAAGCTGAAAGGCTTGGTTGATTTATGCAGCTCTTCTTCTTATTGTTCAGCTCTGATTTGGAGGATGTGACAGAGGAGCATCAGCAGATTGACAAGATGGTGGTTGAACCTCTTCAGGCTGCAGATCAGGACCAACAGGAGCCGTCAGGCAGAAGGAAGGCGGCGTTGGTCAGGTTGGTCTGTTATATTCCAGCAGACGCTGCTCCACCATGAACAACAGCAGGAAAACATTGTTCAGCTTTTCTGATTGGTTGATAATTATTATATTCTGATGGTTTTTCCAGGTCAAAAACTTTAGACAACTCCATGCTGACTCACGTCCAAATAGATTTACACTCCAAGATAGAGAGAAAGAAGTCGCACTACAGCCAGGTGAGTTAGCAAAGACAATCATGTTTTTAT